TTTTCTTGCTCTCTCTTGTGTCAAGTTCGCATAGTCTGCCCGTATGAAAGAGCAAAATCAAAGACTCTCGCGCCATACTTACTGTTTTGTGATTGTAGCGGCGCAAGAGGTCTTGGTTGCCTAACTAAATATAACGAGGGGACATCACCGCTATATATCGTAATCTCACCGGAACGAATGAAGCTTAGTGCGTAACACAGCTTTCCAGCTAAAGCCACAGCTGGGTGACGGCCTGGTGGAGATTCGCTTACACAGCCATCTTCAGGTTCTGACATTATCCCCAGAATGGTTACATTCCGCGGCGTGCAAATCACTTGTACACAAGCGGCCAAGTGGCTAATATCCTATACTACGACCAGTTCGGATGCATAAGGCGAGCCTAAGGCTTCGGCCCTACATCTGGAAGATTGCGGACGCTTCAGCTGTCACATTTCTCGCCAACCTCGCAGCATCCTTCCACATCGTCGCTCATTTCTCGAGGAGTTGAAGTGATTATCAGAGCGCCCCTAACCCAGACCTGGGCGATGTACGCTTCATAATTCCTTTTACAGCTACGATTACGGATGCAGTCCAATCTCGTTTGAGCCGCGGCTGAGAAGCTGCCGATACTGGGCAAATGCATTTTCTGTCATGTATAATATGGCAGCGTATAGTATGGGTCGGGGACATATATATATAAGGCTGCCAGAGCAGGTCTTCATCTTCCAATCCCTCATCTGCACTTCTCACATTCACTCGCTCATCACATCAAAGAGAAGTATCAACGTCGAAAAGAAAAGATGATTTACTCTACCATTGCTGGGCTTTTGCTCACGCTCACGTCGGTCGCCACCGCATCAGCATTGCCTCAAGCCAACACCTTGGAGTCCAGACAGGCGGCTTCCGTCTCGACGATTACCTTCTCGGAGCCGATCCTAGCACCGCACGTTATATCAACCTTCCCCAACGGCACCTGGGTCGAGAACCTCGTTCCCCGCTCCGAGGACGGCAATTTTGTGGCCACCCTTCTTTCAGCACCAGAGGTATACCTCCTGTCGTCTACAAACGCCTTCCCGCCACTCCTCCTTGCCCAGTTCCCTGCACACACCGGTGTTCTCGGTGTCGTAGAGCTGGGCCACGACATCTTTTACGCCGTAGTCGGCAACTTCTCCCTGAAAACGTTCACGTCCACGCCCGGGAGCTATGGCATCTTCAAGATCGACCTGAACGGCCACAGCGCTGGTGCCCGCACGGCTGGTCACGGAAAGCTTTCGAAGCAACTGGCCAAGGGCGTCAAGGTCGCAAAGGTCGCGGATCTACCCAACGCGGGTCTCCCGAATGGACTGACCGTGCTGAATCCCAACACGGGCATCCTCTTGGTCGCCGACTCGGCCAAGGGCCTCGTCTGGTCCGTCAACGTCTTCACGGGACACACCGCCATTGCGGTCAACGACCCGTCCATGGCGCCCAACGCGACCCTCTCGGGCGGACTGGCCCTGGGCATCAACGCCGTCAGCTTCTCCAACGGCTATCTCTACTACGACAACTCCAACTCGGTCACCTTCAACCGCATCCCCGTCAACTCCACCACCGGCCACGCCACGGGCCCCGCAGAAGTTCTCGCTGACCAAGAGTTTGCCAACATCTTCCCCGACGACTTCACGCTCGATTTCGCCGGCGGTCTCTGGTTTGCGTGCGAGTACGGCCACATTGCCTACCTCTCGGGCGTGGGCGCCGGCACATTCCAGCCCGACATAGTGGCCGTGGCTGGAAACACGACCGGTCCTGTCGGCTTGACGTCTGCCAAGTTCGGCACGAGCGCCGAGGACCTCAAGAGGGGATCGTTGTACGTCGCCACGAACGGTGGTCCGTTCACCTATGGCGGCGCGCACCCGGCACAGGGTCAGCTGGTGAGGTACGACACGGCCTTGCTCGGCTTCTACTAAATATTATGAGACTGTTGGTGGCAGGAAGAAGGTCGAAGACTCATGGGTGCGTGAGAGGTGACCGGTGACTGGAGCTTTGCATGCAGCATAGTTTGGGGGGTGGTGGGTGTAGGGTGTAAGGACAACCTTGGATAGATCGAGATTCAACCGTTTTGCGAGCTGGAACTTTTGGAGGCTGATGTATGTAAGACAGATGCAGAAATAGCTCGCCGCAACGATAATATCAATGTGCCCTATTTATATGCCCTCTCTGTTTGACAATATCTCTCAATACCTCTCGATTTGCATTGGAAGAACCTGAATTAGAGAAAGGAAAGACGGTGAATGCAGCAGCGCAAGAGGCTCTTTATTAACACATCTCCCACTCTCGTCTAATTGGCCCATAGGTTCTTAAGGGCCAGGTAGTATGGTTTAACACGGCTCTTGGTCGATCCTACTAGCTGGGGAATATTAATATTGCTTAATCAATTTCTGCTTATTGCTATTTGAGATTCAGAGGATCGTTGGTCTATTGTACCTTACAGTAGCTTCCACAACAGCCGTAGGGCTCCCACTCTAGAGATTCATCGACGTTACAAGAGTCATCCACCGGGATCCTGAGTGGTCACGTTCATCAGGAAGAACCTGGAAAACGGAGAGGTCCTCCTTTGATCCTGAGTCTCTCGCCGAAGAAGACCAGTGGCAGGAGGATGAGGCAAGCAAGGATGATGACGGCGGCCTGTGTCCCAAAAGCAGCGCCGTACCCGACTTTGGCGCCCCACGGGAGCTGGAAGTAGGGGACGGCAAAACCACAGCCGGTTCTGAAGAGATTCAGCCAAGCCGAGACCTCGCCGGAGCCGTTGGGATAACAGTCCAGCGCGTACGCAGTGATAGCCACGCTGGCCAGCATGGCCCCAAAGATGTAGATGCCCCAACCAAAGGCAATTCCAGTCCAGTGCAGTCGATACTGTAGCGTCTGACCAACGAGCACAAGCCCTGGAATCATAAATAACCCTGCGACGAAGTTCATTGGTAGACGACCTTCAGGCTTGAAGATACCGCGGTGCTTGTGGGTGTATCTGGCTGCAAGCCAGTCGTTGCACCAGTGACCAGCCAATTCACCCAGTGTGATACCAATGGAAGGCGCGCTGTTGGCAGGTCAGCGGTTCTATCGCCTTTTCACAGCGAGGAAGGAGCATGACGTACAAATAGATGAAGCCAACTGCGTCAGTGTTGAATCCGTAGCCTCCTTGCTCCGGAGGAGTTGCCAAAAGAACAGCAGAGCAGATATTGATGCCGACAGCCCACATGAATGTTAGACCGCTGGATAAACATGTCAGTCCGGAATGCCACCAGGGCTGCAGAATGGGTGATCTCGATAACTTACTAGTAGACAATGATGGGCAGAACGATGGGCTTCACAACAACAAGCGTCATCCTGCTACATGCCGGCAACACGTCAATGAAGTAACCTTTGTGGTGCTTGATCTGCCACCACCCAAGTAGTCGAGAAAGACGACTGCCCCGTGGTGGTTGCTCCTCCCGCGGAATATCACGTCGGTACCATGACTCATCCGTAAAAGCGAGGATCAGGATGCAGCAGAAGACGTTGAATCCGAAAGATAGCCAGAATGGATTGCGCCAACCGTTGGTGTAGGCCACGACAAAGCTTCCGCACATCGGTCCGATATAAGGGGAAATGAAATAGAGCGAGATCCAAATGCCGATCTTCCTAGCGTGCTCGTGGAAGAAGAACATGTCCTTGATGTAGCACAAGACCGTCACGTTGCAGGTGGTGATAAAGAGACCCTGGATTCCGCGCAGGGCGTAGAAGGTGGCGAAGTCATCGGTGAGGGCCAAACCGAGTGTCAGGAGGGTCGCAATCAAGGTGGTCCAAAAGAGAACGGGCGCTCGACCCCAGAAGTAGCACGGAGGAATCACCAGAAGGCCACCGATACCGCTAGAAGACTAGTTATAGTGGTATCTGACATGCAGTATGGAGATGCCTTACCTCAAAGCCACACACAAACTGTTCGTATAGTTCATTTTGTCGGGAGTAACGCCCCAGTATTCGGCCTGTCTGACGACAGCAGGGACACCAACAGTGATACCGAAATCACTGGAGAAGGTGCAGATAGATGCAGCCACGAGGAAGGCGTGCTTCTTGAACCATGACCAGTTGAGCGGATCATTGGGGTCGTCGCTCGGCTGAGGTATCAGAACCGTCTGCGCACCAGAATTCATAAGCTTGTGCGTCCGTGTGACTGAGATGTTCTCAAAACTTACGTGTCCGTCGGCGGCCAATTTCAAGCCATTGGCTGCTGGATCGCCATCTGTGTTATCGACATAGAGCAAAACGGCCTCAGCGCCCTGGTGGGTGATATCTTGAGGGTCGACGGCCTTGCCCGCTGGAACATCCGTCACCACGGTCTCATTTTCTTCGACATGGCCCATTTTCTCCACAGAACGAGGGTTTGCTGGTGCTTCCATGATACTTGGGCAGCTTCCGCGTCGTTGGGCGCTGCTCCTTCTGTGGTATCCAGAAGGGAGTAACCTCTTCAAGACCAGAGACACCAAACGTTTGAAATGACTGAAGAGAGTCCGACACCGCGGCTGATTACATGTTTGCCGGTCGAATATATACCTCCACAAGGCCGTTCTCTGAGTTGGGAGGCACCCTTGCACAATGCAGGGGCAAGACGAGAGGTCCCCACGGGGAAGCCAAGAGGCCGGAGAACCTCGAGCCATGTAAGCCATGGAACCGATGTTTGCAAACGCTTGCGAATCTGGCCAAGAGGCCGCTCCAATTTAGTCTCCGGTTATCAGTGACTGGACATGTCAAACCCCAACGTTTTTAGAGTTCTCGTGCTCGGTCTTTGTAGCGGCCAGGTTCTAGGCTCGACAAATCCATATGAACATTGCCGATTCAAATATCAAGTGACTCCTAGACGCTTCGGTGTTTGTCCCTAAGTAGGCACGGGATGGACAGAGCATTCAAGTGACGGATCAGAGTATGTGGTTCCTGAAGCAGGGAACTATGCTAGATCGAGGAATCCAAAACCACAGTAACGGACCAGCCCACGCAGCTACACAATCTCAGTTACGTCGTCTGACTATATCCTCAAGCTGGGAAGATTCCCCGTGAACTTGTACGAAATATGGGTCGTATACAGTGCAGGTGCGCTTGGAAGTCTCTCCGTCTGCGTAGCCCGGTCGTGGGAGCACAAAATGTTTGTCCCTCGAACACTCGATCAGTTCTCCATTCAAACTGCGATCGTGCAGGCACTTCATGTACGCCGCAGCAATAGTCTCCTTCGGGGTCAACCTATACGCTCCCCGTCAGCCACCGAAGGAGCAAGAAAGGGCAGAGACTGACCCATCGGCACCAAAGGTGTCACGCATCTCTTGGGAAATGAACTGGCTTGGTACGATCCCCGGCAGCACAGCGTTAATCGTTATGTTTTCCTTCTGCTATAGATGTTAGAGACAGCATTGCTCGACACACGCTAGTGGGTGACTGGGTTTGAACAAACCAGCTTTAGGACAGGGGCCGTTGAAATCACAAATGCGTTCATCTATTGAAGAGGTGAGCAAGGCGCGGGCCAGGGCAGGACTGACTCACGGCAGACTTGGCTCCACAATATTCCGGGAAAGTAGCAATTGGATGATATCCCACCATGCTTGAAGTGCAGACGATGAAACCTCCCGGGGTCGGGTTCTGTCGCATGAAGTGGATTGAAAGCTGAGTTCCATAGATCAAAGCATGGTAGCAAACCGCTGTGCAGGCGAGGTCAGGCTTGGGGGGAATGCTTCGATTCAGTCAAATATGTATATTGTTAGTCGTGGTGCTCCTTTAGGGGGAGACTTTGGTAATGGGCTTCCGGCGTACCTAGTTTTTCCACGGTGGCTGTAGATGTAGACCGAGCTTCTATCGATTATACCAGCATTGGAGCAGAATGCATTGATCTGTCCAAACTGTGCAAACACCTGTGCAAAGGTCTCTGCCAGCGCATCGTAGTTGGAAACGTCGCATTTGCGATAGGAGAAGGATTTTCCAAACTCTTCGGCGATCTTTGGATCACAAGAGTCGGCCACGTCGACGCCGACAACAGTCCATCCGTCTTGTAGGAGGTATGTCGTCAATACCGCCCCGATGCCAGACTATTCCGAGGTCAGAGAAGATTTCAAAGGTTCTCCCCTTCATTCTTTTCAACTTTGGGGAACAGGTAGTTGGACTAACAATCGCACCGGTAACTATGACAACTTTCTGAGTGGACGTCGCCATCGTTGAAGATAGTAGTGGTCGTGGACAGCGATTGAAGACAACCCTTGTTGTTTTGAAGTGTGATCCAACGGCCTCACATGGGTAAATAGTCAAGACACCCTTCAACACCCAGATATTCGGCTAAAAAACCCCGCAAATGCAAGGTATACTTCGTCTAAAGGAAGATGCCGAAGTTGCGGTAAGAAGGCCAAGACTCCGTCCAGATGAAGTTTTCGGTAGACACCAGCAAAGGAAATAAGACAAACAATCGCTTGTGGTACGCATATAGTCCCAAAGGCAGTTGGCCAGACGGGATTCTGCACAATCTCTGCGAAATATGGCTTTCCCAAAACACTACGAGTTTGACAATCAGTCCTCCATCCCGGCGCCGTTCAACGAGACCATTCCGGCCTTCTTTCGCGAATGGGACAATCCCACAGCAAGGACTGAGGAGTTGCTCGAATTCTTTGCCCCCGACGCGAAATTCACCTTCTCCCACATCACGACAAACTCTCGCGAAGCTCTCGGCGATCTGAGGAGAGGCTTGATCCATCCAGAAAATGGGCCGGTCGTTGACTGTGGCCACACGCTGCGACAGTTCTACGCTCTGACCGGACAGTCCGATTCGAAATCAAAGCAATTCCTCGTCAAAGGACTCATTTGGTACAAACTGAGAAATGGACGGAGGGTTGACGCAGGATTTGTAACGTATATGAGCCTGGTTCAATCGGCGGGCGGGAAGTGGCAATCCGACCTTTACGAGATCTTCCTCGACTCTCATGAAATATTCGATGCCATCAAGGAGCTGCAAGTCACAGCATGACCTAGCTGTGTATAGAAGAGTGATCGAGCTGGACGCGCTGGCTAGACAGTATGAGGCTATGATAGTTATGTATTTCATCATGCAATTCCAGCCTGATATTGAACCAAGCAGACTCTCTTTCAGTGACCCTCATGCAAATATTGGAAAATTCTCTTCACACGGCCGAAAGCGCAGTTCAGTCCCAGACCGCAGAGCCTCCGGTCTCCTCCCCACCGAACATGCTGTTCGACTCGTGCCGAGACCCCGACGCAAGGGATGGTGGAGATCCCGGGCCGGCGAAACATTGGCAAATACCGCGAGTTTGGTATGCCCTCACCTACCTCGGGCAATACTTAGCGGGATTTCCACCTCATAGCTTCTTGAGATATCTAACCTGGCTAAGCGGTGCACGTAGATAAACATATGCCCGGTAACACTGTGTTGGAACCTGTTTCGAAAAGACCAACATCAGCAAACAAGAAACCCACGTCCCAACGCTGGCAACACTCCTAAAAAATGTCGCTGCAAAAGGTCTGTCGCATATCCGTGCTTGTCACGAAGCGAACCGACATCACCGACAAAGAATTTCATAGTTATTGGGCAAATGGCCATGGGCCCCTCGTCGCACCGATGCTCATCAAATATGGCATTCTCAAGTACACACAAGTATGTCTGCCTACCTCTCACATTCGCACAACAGACACCTCTCTGTGTGCCCTGGACTGACCCATATTCCCCAGTACCATATGACGCCCGAATATAAAGCCAAAGGCGCGGCCATTGGCATGCCATCGCCTTACGACGGCATCGCTGAATTCCTGGTGAACAAGTAAGTGGCTTGAATGCTCAAGTTCATCAGCTTGCCGTGGGACTAAATGCATCGCTTCCAGATATGAGGATATGTCCGATTTCTTCAGCGACCCAGAATACATGGTCAAGATCCGTCCTGATGAGGCCAAGTTCGTCGACATTGACAAGATCGTGTTCAACGTCGGTGTGGACTACGTGCAGATCAACGACAACAAGTTTGTTGAACACGAAGGCCCCAGTTCCTTCTAGACGTCAAAGACCACTTGTATGCAGGCAAAGGTCTGACCATTGCGCGGAGGATGTGGCGACCCCGGGATCTTCAGATAGCTTCGGTCCTACAGCGTGTCAGAACAGAATATTATTGCACAAGAGCATGAAATCTTTTAGGGCAAAGCAGTATCTCCAGAGTTCTTGAGAGTACTATCTACAGCGAGATCATCTGAAGCGTCCCCACGACGCTGTTTCCACGGTCGCTTCATGAAGTTCATCAGATGTTCAGGGCTACCACTGGGCTCGCCCACGAACCTTGGCCCTTGTGGTCGGGGGTCCGCTGCACGAGGGGCGGAGAGTCGGGATCTTGGCCATCATTCATCACAGAAGGCCAAGATCCCGACCCCAGGGTTGCCAACGAGGCATGGGGATTTTAGCGGTTGTAGTAGAAACTAGTCCGTTTATGGATTAGCCTACAAGCGACGTAGATGATAGGCTAGTAACTTTACCAATTAGCTAGCGTGGATTTACGTGTAGGTCAGGACTGTTAGCTGGCAACGCTGGCCTTCACTGTTGACCGAGTACGGGAGAAAGCCTGACTTCCTGACGGCAGCCCTATCCTCTCTCGCCGGATGTGCAAGAGGCTGGACCGTACATTGGTCGCGTCTAGAAGTACCCATCATTGTCCTTTGGAGAGGCGATTGGAGGATTTTATGATTGGGGAGCCATCTTACTGGGTGACGACTCGGCCATGTGTGGGAGGTAGCCGAACTCTTGGGTCTATGTTGGGGCGATCGGTCAGCTGCACACCCTTGTGCAGCACCTATTCACCGGTCACGAAATCTCAGTTACAGATTTCCTTTGATGCTGTTGGGTCTCCGGCATCTAGGCCATGGTCCTACCGGACTCGCAAAAAGTCAGCTGAGGATGAGCATCTCGCGAGCGAATCATCCTTGCCAGAACGGGTTGTGATCTCAGTTGGAGGTTCACCATCATATTTATCCTCGAGGACTGCTTTTTCTGCGGCGTTCGAGTGCCACGACAGTCCATTTCACCATGTTTGCCGTTCAACTTCTGTCTATTGTGGTGGTTGGCACCATCATCTGGGCACTTTACCGGCTATCGACCTCGACCACGGCCACCGCTCCAGATGGTTTGAAGCCACTACCAGGGCCCAAGGGCTATCCATTCCTCGGCAGTGTCCTGGAGTTCCCCAAGACGTTCTCTTACCACAAGTTCAAAGAGTGGTCAGACATATACGGGCCGATTTTCCAAGTCAATATCCTAGGCACCACCCATATTGTCATCTCGGATGTTGAAATCGCGAACGACCTTCTCGCCCTCAAAGGCGCCCAATACTCGGACCGCCCGCCTATTGTGATGCTTCACGAGCTCGTCTCGGGCAATGGTAATCTCGGCACCAGTCCTCTCAATAAGTACTGGCGAAACGCGCGTAAACTGGCGGCAGCGCGGTTATCCAGTACTTCCCTTGAAGTTTGGGATGGCGTGCAAGTCGGCGAAGCCAAACGCCTCGTCAGGGACCTCATTAAGGACTGCAGCAGCTATGAATACCTCTTCGAAAGGTACTCATCACTGGTCATGCTGCGCATACTCTACGACAAGAAAGTTCCTTCTGTTGAGGAAGCCGATCACGTGAAGACGATTACCAACATCGTGCGAACGCTCGAGCGGACTGGCGCACCAGGGACATATTTGGTCGATTTTATCCCTCAGTTGAAATATCTCCCAGAGTTTCTTGCTCCCTTCAAGGCTGAAGCTAGGGTACTCCATAACTATGAGTATACGTACTTCCTAGGTCTCTTCCGCGAAGCCTTGAGGCGTTATCATCAAGCAAGTGGACGACCCAAGGATGGACCTCAGGCAATGGTCGACGCCTTTCTAGAGAAGCAGGATACCTACGAACTTTCGGAGTTCGAGGCGATATACTGCATGGGGACTCTCTTCGAGGGCGGTTCTGGCACGACATCTTCATCAATGCAGTCCTACTGCCTCGCCATGTGGCACTATCCTGAGTGGCAAGCCAAGGTTCAACAAGAGATCGATGAGGTGGTCGGAGATCGGTTACCTTCTTTCCAAGACTGGCCCTACCTTCCTACCGTGCGGGCTGCCATCAAGGAGACCTTGAGGTGGAGGCCTGTTGTTCCGGGAGGTAAATCTCTTCCCCAAGAAATCTTGTGTGAGCAAGGCAGAAAACTGACCGACTTTACACAGGCATTCCTCACTTGTCAACGGCGGCAGACAGCTATAAGGGATACTACATCCCCAAAGGCGCGATCATCCATGCGAACCAATACGCCATGTTTAAAGATGAATCAGTTTACCCGGACCCGGAATCCTACAACCCTGATCGATGGCTAAGACCCGAGTTTCCGACGTATCAAGAGCCACTCACCCAGTTCCCCAATCTGAAACGGTACGCGGCGTTTGGCTTTGGGCGGCGCATCTGTCCTGGTCTTTTGGCTGCCGAGCGCTCACTTTTCATCGAGGTGACAATGCTCATGTGGGCATGCAGTGTCGACAAGAAGCTCGACTCGTCAGGCAATGTCATTCCGGTCCCATGGTATGACTACAAACCGGGGAATAACACGGGGCCAAAACCTTTCGACTTTACCTTGAAAGTCCGCAGTGAGAAACGTTTGTCGTTACTCAGCGGTATATAGATTCGAGCTCGAGAAGACTATGAGAAGAAGTGTTTCCTATCTATGCTGTATTTTCTGATTGTGTAACTAGTACGCTGGAGCACACGAGGAGCCAGAGGTTTCTGTGGACAGCCCCGTCTGTGACCGTTTCATCCCTTATATTGCGATGACTTTTCCCTGACGACGTAGAATTTTATGGTTGAACGGTCGATGAAATTTGCCTCATCGGCAAACAGAGGCCCCTGAATCGCAGGGTCTGCGAGGCGGTGCTGGAAATCTGCAAAATCGGCCTCGGTCTCGAACCACACTTCGGTCACCACGTCGGAGAATGCCTCGTCTGACCCTCCTGCACGTCCTTCGATCGCGCTCTCCTGTTGAATGTAGTTGCGTGTATACCGTTGAATGCAGGACGGGAACAGTTGTTCGATGAGGGGAACATGGTTCTTTTCGTAGTAGCCTTCGAATTCGACGGGGCTGATTCCCGGCTTTCTTTTGAAGAACAGGATCAGCTTGACGGCGTGTCGTTGAGCCATTGATGCCAGTAAAGGGTTTTGTAGGTGTGGAACCCGTTCTGCGCTCTGAGATACTCTTCAATAAATGCTACCAGATCCCCCCTTCTCGGGCGGCGAGGCTCAGTTGTGCGCAACAGGGAGACTGGTATACCCGAGGTAATATGTCGTCTAGTGTCACTACTCCCTCTTAATCGGTCGCTGCGTACAAGGTCGGTTCGTAATGATTACATTCTATATACTTCGAGTTCCTTGTCGATAGCTAGATAGCCATCTAGCTGTGCACGATTCCATTTTCTCGTTTCGTTGGCCGCCGTCCCTAACAGTAGCCTAGATTGCGTATCTGGGTATTATGCTAAGGATTAGGTCCGGGCTGTGGGCAAAATCCCGAGACCCCGAGAACGAGATCATCTTTTAGGTACGTGTACTCGGTACCTCGTATAGATCTCGGGGTCTTGGCTACCCTCGACACGACCTCCTCGGTGTTCTCACAGTAACCCCGTGCATACCTCGCCTGGGGAGCTTAGGGCCCGCTTAAGTAGCCGGAAGCCAAGTGTATCTCTCCACAGCGCAGCGGGGAGTGGCGTGGAGGCCCGGATATTGGTGGTCGTCTTGAGACAGCGAGTCTGCACATCTTCCTCTCCCTGGTAAACTTCCCCGTGTGCCTCGAATGTCAGTCCTATCGAGCCCAATTCGCTCAAGCACTAGATTCGTTTCCTACCATGGTTCACCCGATCGAGCCTTCGAAGTTGTCCAACACCTGTTGTCGCTGTCGCGCAAAGAAAGTGAAATGTAGGTCAAGCAAGCCTGTACCCGTGGTCTCGGACGGCTCATGAATTTCTTGTACGGCGTTTCAGGTAATGGTCGAGAACCATGTGACAAGTGTCAAGTATGGCCGCGAGTGTCCGCTCAAAACTCTTTCAAGCCCCCATGTCTGATGCCCATCTCAGCGCACCGGGAGTTTTTGCACCTATGTGCCCTCACGGAGAGGAAGAAGGCCAACGACGTTGGCGAAGCAGCATCCCAATGGGACTCGGGGCGCAAATATAAAAGCCTGCGTGCACCACGCACACAGATCACCGTCCGGTCAGATTCACTCAAGTTGCTCTCAGGGGCGTTACTCTCCTCCTCCGACAGCTACGTGCTACTCGTCATGCGGGGAGCGGCCGATCGGTCACAGCGACGAGACTGTGTCGTGCAATTACACTGCTCAATCTGGCCGCACGGATATGGGCATGTGTCCGAGTACAACATCTTTCCCGCTGGAGCCAGAGTCCTTCGATATAGACACCCACTTAGAACACGCATTGGCAAGCGCCGATGGGATAGGAACATTGCACCAGGACGTCGACGAATCAACCATGGAGTCTTTCAGCTCAGAGGCTTTGCAGGCTCCACGGGTGCCGCCGGCGTCGGAGCGTGAAAACTGTGCCCTCACACCTCACAGTGTAAGAAGGCCATAAATTGTTTGCGGAAGACTACAGGCTTACGTGACAGCAGGGCAATTGGGAACATCATGGTATTCTCGCGTACCAGCCGTCAGAAGGACCTTTGTTGACCTGAAGCCAGGGCCCGGATCCTGGCTCTCCATCTGCTCAAAACCAGGGCTTGCTTGGGTATCTCAAGCGGTTGGCTCCAGCGATTTTGGAGAGAGTGCAAGAGACCTGGTCTCCACGTGGACACGGCGTCTGACAATGGACATGAGTGCTTTGGCTCCTCATCCAAACTCGGAGCCGGAGCCGGAAATGGCATGGGCATTTGTCAATGGTTTCTGGCTGTTCTATGTTCCGCCTCCTCCCAGCTAGAATACTGACATTATTGTTGATAGCATATTTTGACGAATCCTTCGAATCTATCTACGGCGTTGTGCACAGACCCGAGTTCGAGGCCACACTCAGTGCTTGGCTTCGTGGCGAGTCGAAACGCAACGTGGACGTAGTCTGGCACGCGCTGCGCAAGACCATCTACGCAGCCGGGTGCACCATATACCTGCCCAAACACTCTACCTTGAGTTACAAAGAGATTCAATCACAAGCCTGGGGGTATTTCCAGCAGGCCCTATCGTCCCTCGTCCAGATTCTTTTCACGCCGAATGGAATTCTCTCCATACGCTGCATATTGGCCATGGTACGTTCCGCTCCATACACCGGGCAGCAAAGAACTGACAGAGGTAGACATTCTTTGCTGGTGGGCTGGGCTCACCATCGCTTGAATATCAGCTCTGCTCAATGGCGGTGCGACTGGCACATGCCAAAGGGATACATCGACAGTCTGGGTCGGGATGGAGTTTGTCTGCAGACGAAGCCAAGCAATGCAATTGGCTCTTCTGGGCAGTTTATTGCTGCGAGAAGCATATAGCCCTGCGCTCTGGACGGCCTTCGGTGAGTAACATCCCCCACCCAATCCTTTGTTTCCCCAGGATAATGACCATCTCGATTGTAGTTGATCGACGACGACGAGATTAGCTGTCAGGTCCCGAAGGACGCCTGCCCCGGAAGCACAATCGATGTTCCCGCGCTTGTCGCTGTGATCCAGCAAGCTCGTATTCTGTCTCAAGTGGCGAAGAGGTTGTTTTCTTTCCAAGCCCTCCAGCGGTCCTCACCGGTTCTGCTGGAGGCGGTACGTGATCTGGACGCCCAACTAAGGGGCTGGAGAAACTCTCTCCCTGACGATTTGAAACCACCAGACACTCTTGGTTCATTCTCGATCGTCGACAGGAGGCGCCTGTGCCGGCTGGTCCTGATCTATTATGGATACTATGGTGGTCTGACTTCGATTCATGCCGCATTTGCTTACCCCTGGATCAGCTCGACTCTCTTTGGCCATGGCCGGATGGGTGAGGGCATCCGCGAGCAAATCATGGCAAGCTCCGAAATCGTCCACGGGGCAGCGAGGAACATGCTGGTCATAGCCAAAGGGGTTGAGATCAAGCCAGACGCTTCGCAATGGTGGGTGAATCGTGGGGTTCTCCTCGCATGTTCTCCTGCTGACAGATCTTTAGGGCTGCGTTCTACTTTCCGATGCTAGGTCTGATCAATGTCTTCATCTACGTGCTCAAGCACCCGCATGGAGGTTCCACTTCTTCCGACCTTGCGTTGCTAGACATCATGGTCGGGTACTTTGCGAACATGCAATTCGTCACCGAGGGCGACATGAGCTATCCATTTGCCCGTGATGTAGCGAACCTTGCAAGGCGGACCGCCCAAAAAGCAGCAGAGGCGGAGAAGAGAGACATTCGCCCAGGGCCGGATTCTGACGACAATGTGGCGCTCGGCCGTCAAGAATTCCAATTTCCCGACATGGTAAGTGGCCCATCTGGCCGTGGGAGACGGAGCTGACTCACCTTGTACAGAATGACAACTTCCCAAGTCCAAGCGATTTCAACTTCGACGAGTGGGGGATTTTTGGCTCTGTCTTTGACGAAATTATCGTTGCATGACATGGATATACGAAGAAAAATTACTATGGCGGTTAGGCAGATTTCAGATCATGCGTGCCAACTACAAGAAAAGACGCCCCTGGCACAACCGTTATATGTGAGAATCGCCTGCCTCGTACCTGCAAATTCAATAGCCTCTTGGGAAATGCAAGAGCGCCGCAGCGGAGGAGCCCAGTTCTTAATCCCCAAGACATGACCAGAAAAATACATTATAGAATCTTCCATGCATTCTGGATTTCCCATGACGTGGCCACGTGAGCACTCATGGGCAAGACATGTGTAACCAACATGGCATGCACGCCTGGAACTGGATCAAAACATGCGTCTTCCATCACCGTCACGATATACCCACGATCTGTCGCAGCACGAGTGGTACTCAGGACACAGCCAGAAGTGCTGATGCCGCCGATGATGAGCGACTTGACTCCCTTTTCCTTTAACAGGCTCGACAGTCCATGAGACTCAAGGGCGGAGATGAATCCCGGTGTCCTCACGAAGCTGAGCTCGCGGTCGGGATGTCGTTTAACTGACAGTGTCTCCGCTTCACGGCCGTACCACGGGTTTCCATCTAGTTTGGTTTCATACATCTTCCATCTTGCGGCGATCCTCGAGTGATTGGGAGGCTTTGAGCCGGGCGAAGCGTCGATGAGGCAATGAAAGACGGTCATCTCTTTGTCGAGTGCCCAGTCGCGCATCTGTGATGCAATATTGAGGACACTGGTTGCGGCAACGTCCCCAATCCCCGCAAGAGTCATGTTTTGATAGTCCATGAGCAACACCGCAGTTTCATGAGGTGAGATTGACAGTGGTGATGACAGGTCGCCAGGTGAGAAGACTGCGTTTGCCATAGTCAACATGAAGGAAATGGCAGGCAAGAAAGCATATGAGATGAGGTTAGCGAGCGAAATGGCACACCTGTTACGCAGGAGACGTGATTCAAATCCAGAGTGATCCAGGTCGAAGTGGTATTTGCTATATGTTACAGGGCGGAGATAAAGATTAATGCCGAGATGCATATGCAACGTTGTGGGCCTGGCCCATGAAAACTGTCACTGTGCAGTTGCAATGCGCTATCGTCGGTAATGGCCCGTTCGCGGGCGATTCCGGATCTTGTTTCCATGACCCAGTAGTTGTGGGCGGATAGTAATGAAAACTGGCCTGGAGGAACAATTTCCTACCCATGGCTTAACACCGGCCAACTTCTTGGTTCCTAATGGTTTCTTTGCAGGAAGTTCAGCCTCTTTTGAGCCAAGTCAAGGGACGCCGATACTCTCTGGTACCATCTCTGCTGTGCTCCACGACCAGTGGACGGGTTTGAGGCAAGTCTGTTTCTTTTTCGTAGGATTCGAGTTTAACATGCCTAAGACCCTGCAAAAAGCACATACTGCTCTTCGACCTAGTTTCTTGGATTCCGACAGGGGACTGAGGAGTGTTCAGAGTAAGGTAGTTCGGAGATAAGGTCGCTCGATCAGCTTGGACTGGGTTCGACAGAGAAACCCAAATTCGAGGTTCAACCTTCCAAAATGACTTGGAAAAAGGTTGACCAAGAGCATACAGAGCAAGATGCAGTCTTGTTCCGTCATTAAGACTTGTTGCATAGGGTGCAATTTGGAATTCCGAGTCCTAGGTACACCTAGCTAGCCATCGTGCCAAAAGATCCAGAAACGCCAGGCAGGGTAGAAAGGAAAACGCTCCAAGGGAGTATTCTCTCCATATCACCTTGCCCTTTCGACATCCAAGGCACCAGCTCGAAAATTTACCTTCTCGTGCTCTGGGGATGTCAATCTTGGTCAATTATGGTCAGATTGGTGATACATTCTGCGAGGCCGTTTCGAAGAGACATGAAGCATATGCACAATCGATTTGCGCGATTGTTTGCAGCCGAGAAATGACTCAGGATGGCACTGTTCTTGACACGAGAGAAGAAGCATTTCGCTAGTCCTAACCCGGGAAGATCGTTTCAACAGGACAAGACAGGACCACCTACTCTGGGGGTGAAGATTTGTTAGTCGCAGCTCTGATCTAGGGTACATGTTTCCCGGATGACTTCGGCACCTCGTTCAAGAAGACTGACATCGTGTCCTCAAGACAAGGAGGCAGCCTGACGAGACGAAAGAAGCACGAGCTGGGGAATTGAAAGCAAGTGGAGATGGCTGCTAAAGGGGCAGAGACTATGGAACAGAAAAAGTGATGAAGCGCAGGTGCGCATGGATACATGGTGACAGTTGAAAGTGCCAAGCCTTTCCCTCGCCTGGGCGGCGCTGCTGCTGTGTTGATGCCTCGTGCCTTGCGGAGATTTTGGGACAGACATGTTCATACTCAAGTGTCGCGTGCAGTTGAGCAAAATCCTCATATTTAGCAACTGATTATCCTATTTCTGAATACATTGTTGCCCCCCTCGGATGACGTGACATTGTCTATCTCCTGAGCCTTCCTCCTCCGCATCGTCGAGCATCTGTTCGCAGGCATAAACGTGACGTACGACATCGCAAGGCTGCACCGCAGCTTGCTAAGCGCCTGGAGTCGTATACAACCACGTCGCCTGCCAGTCCTTGTACGACCATTAACTCGACAAGAGAGTGTGTCGTCCAAGTCGTGGTTCTTGCTTCTGTCAGCGTCGGTATGATCCAGGACAATCGATAAATCCTCACTCCTTCGACTCGAATGACCCCAACGATCCAGCGGGCGAACATATAACAGGCCATGGAAATCCCAAAGCAGCACATGGAAGAGCTCCTCAACGGCAGCCTTACCAAACAAGGCTCTGAAATCTCAAGAGCGACCTCTCCGGGCGGTACCATAGCCATGCAAGATGGTCAAACGAACGAGTCTGGCAGCCATTGCAAGCGCAACAGACCTCGAACGTACCCTTACTTTTCTACCTTGCCATATACTGTGGAAGATGAGGCGAAGAGACAGGAAGATCTGGCAGAGATACTCAAACATCTTTACATTGCGATTCAGGCCAGCGACTTCACTCCAGGTGCGGTGCATTGGACTAGGGAACTGCGCAGCTGGCTCTCTCTCAAGTTCGATCCCACCAAAGAACAGCGCGTGAAGCTCGTTAGGCTTTACTATGAACTCGCTCTGGCTCCTGGCATTGATCCAAGTGTGGCCGAACGCTTCGCTAGCATGTTCATGCTACTCACAAAGTCTGTTGTTTCCCAGTCCACGGCCTTGAAGGGTCTCTCAACTGACATGTCTGCAGACGAAAACACTACTTGCGTCCTTTGCTCGATCTAACCCTTGACTGGCGGCCGCTCTTCCGAGAGATCAAAGTATTCGTGCTACCAAGCGAGTCGGGCTTGATGCAGACCACCAACCTCAAGCGCAATATCAAGACACTGATCAAAATCAGTTCCTTCGCCCAACTGTATTTTGATCCAGAGGACATCCCTGCGATGTTGGAAGAAATTCTCCCCTATTTCACAATGTCATCGACTGAGGGCGCATTTGTGGTGATAGGGCTGCTGAATATGCTGCTGCCAACAGCACCCCCTCCGCTCAATCGATCCGACCTGAATCCCCAACATTTTCTTCCCACCTTTTTCCACTTGTGGTCGTTGGTCAATCGCTCCCGAACCGTCGATGTCGCCCTGGTTGATCTTCTCTCTCGCCTAGCTCGAGACTCGCTGCCTAGTAAACAGGTCGAGTTTTCCGAGTTCGGGATATTCACCGCTGAGCAGTCAACGCTAATCACAACTGCGGTTCTGAGGTTATTGGAGATTCCTGTAGGGCAATCCACCTCTCCCTATAGTGCTCTCGTGGACATCACAGCCGGCATGGGGTTTCTGCTGGATCGCGATTCACGCAAGCACCCCGTTTCACATCACATTGCCCGCTGGTTTGTCATGTCATTATCACCGGTCTGCCTGGAAAAGAAGACATCGGTCCTTTCTCTTCTCGAGACCCTGATACAAGCCATTGAGACTTTTTTCCACCCCTCGAACTCTGGCTCCTGGACCCGCACCCTAGCCCAGCTTGTGTTCTACCTGGCAGATTTCTTCGTTATGCGGTGGAACAGAGAACGCAATGGTGAAATGGAGGTCCCTGAAGAGCGAAAACTCAATGAAGCATTGCGGAGACGTTTTGTCCTCTGTTTGCGAGAAGTCATATTCATGGGCATTTATGCCAAGAGCGGAACAGCCATGAGCTATTCGTTGTCAACCCTTCAAGCCCTAGCATTTTTGGAGCCAGACTTGATCCTCCCTGGTGCCCTCCAACGAATCTACCCTTCAATGCAGGGGCTTGTTGAGGTGCACCGAACAATCTCCTCTATACGATCGTTACAAATCTTGGCGAGGACAATGATCAGGACTAAAGGCTACCGTTGTCATATCACGGCTCTCCTTGGTCTTGCCTTGCCTGGTATCGACGCCAATGATCTGGACAAAACGCTCTGTACTTTGTCGTTTTTCGCGAATGTGTGCTACAATATACCATTTGAGGATCTTTCCAAGGGCCGAGAAGATGTTCAAGGTAACATGCTGGCTATAGACTGGATCACAGGGGAGATGGAACGTATGGAGCAGGAAGGCTCCCAAGTCGAGTTGAATTACGCCGCCTTGAATGAAAGGGATGAAGAGTTGATACTTGCCTCGTCCACTGCTGGGTTTGGAGAATTCGTCACATCGTTTCTGGGCCGAGTCTTCACTCTGCTGGAAAATTTGCCAGATGCAGCCCGTGTCAGAAGTGGATCTCCCGAAGAAAACATCGTCAATACATTGCCAGCAGCTTTTATGCCTTTGCTAGCATCTCTCTCGCCAGAATTGTACGACCTGGCATTGAACAAAATTGTTGACTTTGTTGCGAACCACGTCATCCATCAATCGAGAGATGCAATGGCCTTTATTTGCAACTGCTTGTGCAAGGTCGACCCTGAGAAGGCCCTGGCGAAACTCGTGCCTGTTTTGATCAGTGCCATTCGCACTGAAATCGATGAGAACGGTGCCGGCTCAACCAGGAATGCTGCTTCCGATGTCCTGCCTCGAGATAGAGGTTTGGTTTGGAATATCAGCATGCTGAGTATGTGTGTGGTTCATGTCGGCTCCGCAGTCCTGAAATACAAGCAGGAACTGTTCGATATCGCTGTGTACATGCAGCAGAAATGCAAGGGCATGCCGACCGTGCACGTCTCCAACTACGTGCATCATCTGCTGCTAAACCTCACAGTAACCTACACCGCGGATTACGCCTTGTATGAACCGGACAGAGTCAAGAATGGGATCAATGCAGATCTCTGGGGCGCGGCAGAACCACCGGCAACCGTCAAACCAAAATGGCACGTTCCCTGCAAAGAAGAGATTGATTTCGCCGTGGAATTGTTTGAGAATCAAGCCGAAAGCGCGGTGCAACATCTGCAACGCCTCATCGACGGCTCATCCAGTATTAAACGCGACGGCAGCGGCAAGGAGTGGTCGGATGAAGTCTCAAGGAATCTGGTTCTTCTACGCCTGCTCCTCGCTGGAGTATCAGTTCTCTTTGATTCCAAGGGTGTCAACGAGGGTTTGACCACGACTGCGGCAGGTGTTGATGCCGATACCGACACCTCAATGTCTCAGGCAAATGGCCATGCTCCGGAACAACCCAGTGACGTCTTGGACAATGACTCTTCCCTTGATGGCACAGACGAAACATCGATCAAGCCCTCTTTTCAGTATCCTGCTGGCGAGTTGTTAAAGCCTGATGATGCTAACTACAAACTTCTTCATCAACTCAGGCAGAAGATCGGCCGTGTTCTTCATGAGGTCCACGTCTTTCTGACTCGAGAAGGGGAGGATGATGTGTCGTCTTTCGCTCCTTTGTACACTGCCTATCGATCATGGTTTGTTGATGTCGGCATCGAGCGCTCTGCCCACGTTCTTGACAGAGTCACTCGGCTTCTTCATGCTGATGAGCAACCGTACAAAGTGAGCGGCATACGCAAGGACTACCCTCGCTCAATACTCGTCCGACGAGCCAATGTTTACCATACCCAGAGGCTCCGGCATAATGCTGCACCTAGACCACGATCAGAGCTTGACGAGCAGCTTCTACTAGACCTTGCAGAGTCCGCCGTCTCTTTATACACGGAAGTCCGCCGAAATGCGCAAAGTGCAGGCGAATCGGCCCTCAAGGTCATTTTTGGAGCTCGATTGTTCGTTATCCCGCCACTTTTAGCGGCCTTCCAGAAAGCCGTAGAAAAGAACGACTTCCCCCGAATTAAAGGCGGACTATTCGCCTTGTTGTTTGGCAGTCTCGCAAAGACAGTGGGCAGACATTGGAAATACACACCAGCCGTCATAAGAACATTTATCGAGGCCAGCACTGCTGACAAACCCTCCATCCAAAAGCTTTGCAGTGGCGGGTTGTTCCAGGTCATGGACTATGGTCGGCCTGGCGATCGAATGGCTATAATCGACCGTACAGTTGTCGACCCATTTGCTCCCGCTGAAGATGTCGATGATAAGATCGCAAAGAAAAAGGCATTTATCCTGACCAAGCGTGGTAACATCGAGCGCAAGAAGGCGGAACTTGCGGAAGAGCTCATCGAGCTTATTCGCGTCTCACATTGGAAGAAAGCCACCCGCGTGGCCACGCTTGTCATGTCTTTGGGAATGAGGTTCGACACAATTGCTTCAGACAGCATGATTGATTTGATAACTCTGGGCACAATAGACCCTCACCCGGGCTTGCGCGGCCTGTATTCTCAGGGGTTGGTTGCTCTCTTCACCATGACCGATGTGCGAGCAGTGTGCAACCACGACTATGCAAATTACATCCAGGCAATCCAAGAGTTCCCTGCAAAAGTCAAAGTCGAGACGAGAGCTGGAGAGGAATCGTGGACCGAGACATTCCTGAAGGCCTTCTCTCAACCGGAGGCCGATGTTTACATCGATCACGATTATCCTGGTTGGCTTGTGTGGTCGAAAGACATGCCCGGTTACAAGGCTAACGTGCAGAACGACATTATCTATGATGAAGTTGAGTGGAAAAAACGAGCTGTAATCGGCAAACACCTCAATCGAGAATGGTTTGTCACCTTTTTCAAGTACCTGAAGCAAGAGCCTCGAGACCAATCCGCAGATAAGTTCCGCATGGCGAGCGCGGCGATGTTGACTTATGCCTTCGAACTGATCATAAGGGACGGTCTAGCCGTTGCAACATTCGAAGACATCAAAGAAGAAACACTGGCAGTTTTTGAGGACGGCAGCGACAAGCATCAACACCGTGCCACGGCAGAGATTCTGGGTGGTCTGGTAACGTCGGTCATGGATAATTCCATTGAGCGGAGGACGATGGTATGGGAATTCGCGTTCCCAATCATTCAAAGAGTCTTCTCAGATGGCCTTACTCCAGAGAATTCTGGCTACTGGACAACTTTCCTTCATATGATTCTTCAGAGCCGGGACCCTCGGAGAGCATGGCCACTGGTGGATTGGATCACAAGCTTCCGCCTCGATATGGGATCCAACGCCGCTTTCAAGGAAAGTTCAAAGATTCATCTGCTCCATCAAGTGATCCTGGATGCAGGGTGGCATTTCCAGCTCGAAAAGCCTATCATGGAAGACTTTTTAGGCCATATCGACCATCCATACAAGGGCGTCCGAGAGGCGATGGCTCAAACTCTTGCTGCGATTACCCGTACTCGATACCATGAGTCGTATAAGGACGTCAGGGAACTCCTCGAAGCCCAGAGGAAAGCAGGTCCTATTGGGACCCAGCCGTATCTGCCAACCAAAGAGTTCGATGCCACCATGAGTGAGATTTTTGCGCGCTTGGAAAAGTGGCGGCATGAACGCACACCCGGTCAACAGACCCCCTCCGCCTATACGTCTGGGAGCAAAACAATATTACTGTGGCTTGATTCCATGCTCTCGTCATATGAGTGCACCCAGCTCTTGAAGTACTTTCCCAACTTGTTCACGGAGCAATTCCTGCACATGATGGATGTCAAGGAGGATCCCGAGTTGCAGTCTTTGGCATACCATGTCTTTCGACACCTGCCGAATATTCCCCATCGAATAGGGGAAGATCAAGCGTTGATCGAGTCCTTGATTCGCATAGGCAGGACATCCCCATCATGGCATCAACGTCTCCGTGTCATGATCAACATGCAGATCATCTTTTTCAGACGCTTGTTCTTGCTGTCGGAGGAAAGTAAACAGAAGCTTTTCAATTGTGTGGCTGATATGCTCGAAGATACACAGCATGAGGTACGGGCGGGTGCTGCCACGACTCTATCTGGAATGATCCGATGCTCACCGCTAGAGCTGCGAGAGAGGATGATCATTCAGTTACGGGATCGATTCACACAAATGCTCATTGACAATCCCCTGCCAAAGAAACCCAAGGGCCAACTAGCCGGGCTGTCATCAGCGCGAACTTCGGGAACTAACACACCTACTCCTGAAGCACAGCGTTTGGTCATCGTTCGCCATGCCGCAGTGCTTGGGCTAGGGTCTCTAATCCAGGCATTCCCTTATTCAAGTCCACCACCAGCTTGGATGCCTGATGTTTTGGTCACGCTGAGTAGCAAAGCGGCAAATGACCCGGCAACAGTGGGCAACAGCGTCAAGAGTATCATTAGCGACTTCAAGAAGACGCGGCAGGATACTTGGCATATCGATGTCAAGGTACGTTTTGTGATGAACTGACCTTGTAAACCGAAACTGACCGTTGGCAGGCATTCAAACCAGAACAGATTGAAGACCTCTCCGGGGTGCTATGGAAGAGCTATTTTGCTTAGCTCTGCACTTACTTGTAGAATGGAAATGCATAACAACTTTGTGTTTGGGCATAGCGTCGGCGTCTGGCTAAAGTCCAAATTAAACGGGTCACAGTGGTGTTGTTCGTTTCTCTGAGCGATTCTTTTCTGATGGACTCTCGGTACCTTCTTCCGATGTGTAATTACACCTCAGGGATAACGATTGCAGCTCTCTAAGGACATGGGCTTATGATGGCTTAGTGCCATCCTCCTTGTTGAGACAAGAATTGATTGGACAAGCGGGAGATGAGCGAGAAGATGCATCTTTTCGCTCAGAACCACCTGAATGGTCGAGGCATAGAATTGGTCAAGCATCATTTGGGGGTCGAGGTGGCGAAGAAGGGTGAAGATTGACCTTTATGGGTTGTATCAGGTGATAAGGAAAAGCCCTTGATGCCCCGCATGAAATCCAATTCAAGACTGCAGTTCAACTTATACTCACGCCCTCACGGCCGCTAATGGAGGATCGAAATGGTGATGCCCTCAGCCTTGTCTGCAGTAGCTGCTCAATGCGCGGCCGTATAACTAGGAAGAACCTTTAAGCGGCTAGCGTGCCAAGCCAGCAACTGAGGTACGATGCAATCATCGAGCAACACCTCCAACAGGGACCCAGGCTGCGACTTTCATCTTTCAAAGCTCTCACACTTCTTATAGTGAGCCACCACAGCTCTCTGGTGAGGCTTCTTTCTCAAACTCCTCTACGTCGTGGCCTGGGCGGCCTGGTTCCCTCCTACAATAACCGCCCAGCATGGCCCATAAAGATACCCTCTTTCGGTCGGCGAGCATGTCCTTGACCCAGCTCTACATCTCCAACGAAATCGGTCGTGAAGTTGTCTCTGCTCTGGGTGAAATTGGCGTTGTCCAGTTCCGAGATCTCAATGCTGAGACAACTGCTTTCCAACGCACCTTCACTAAGGAAATACGCCGATTAGACAATGTCGAACGCCAGTTCCGTTATTTCAAGAGTCAAATGGACAAATCTCACATCGAGATGAGGAGTCACTGGGATTTCGATGAGAATATGCTCGCGGTCCCTCAAGCCAATGAGATCGATGCCCTTGTGGAACGCGCGGAGAGCTTGGAACAACGCATCAGCAGCTTGAATGAGAGCTATGAAACACTGAAGAAGAGGGAGGTTGAGCTGACCGAGTGGCGATGGGTTCTTAAGGAGGCCGGAGGTTTCTTCGACAGAGCTCATGGACAAACAGAGGATATTCGCGCCAGTATCGATGAAGATGACGCGCCCTTGCTGCGAAACACTGAGGCCGAGGAAGGCAGAGCTAATGGGGATGCGTCTCAACAGCAACAGAGCTTCGCTGTGATGAACATTGGGTTTGTCGCTGGTGTCATTCCCCGTGAGCGACTACCTGCATTTGAACGAATCTTGTGGAGAACTCTGCGTGGTAACCTGTACATGAACCAGTCGGAAATCCCGGAGCCGATCATCAACCCCGAGAACAACGAAGAGATTCAGAAGAATGTTTTCGTGATTTTCGCACACGGCAAGGAAATCATTGCGAAGATCAGGAAAATCTCCGAGTCTCTGGGTGCAGACCTTTACAATGTTGATGAGAGCAGTGATATCCGCAGAGACCAGATTCACGAAGTCAACACCCGCCTCGGCGACCTCGCAAGTGTCCTCCGGAACACCAAGAATACCCTCGATGCGGAATTGAGTGCCATTGCTCGATCTCTGGCTGCTTGGATGATCGTCATCAAGAAAGAGAAAGCTGTCTTCAATGCCTTAAACATGTGCTCCTATGACCACGCCAGAAAGACCTTGATCGCGGAAGCTTGGTGTCCCACCAACACTCTGCCACAGATTCGGCGTACTCTACAAGATGTCAACGACCGAGCCGGGTTGTCGGTGCCGACAATTGTCAATCAAATCAAGACCAATAGGACTCCGCCTACCTATAACAAGACCAACAAGTTCACTGAGGGCTTTCAAACCATCATTAATGCTTACGGGACCGCCAAATATCAAGAGGTCAACCCAGGTCTTTACACCATCGTCACGTTCCCGTTTCTATTCGCCGTCATGTTCGGTGACTTTGGGCACGGCTGCTTGATGGCTATGGCTGCAGCAGCCATGATCTACTGGGAAAAGCCATTGTCACGGTCCAAGCAGGACGAACTGTTCGCAATGGCATTTTATGGTCGCTACATCATGCTGATGATGGGTATCTTCTCCATGTACACGGGCCTCATCTACAATGATGTCTTCTCAAAGGGATTTACTCCTTTCGCCTCTGCCTGGGAGTTCCCTGAAGAGGGTCGCCCAGAAGTCACCGCTCACCTCAAAGGAAGCTACAGATATCCATTTGGTCTGGATTGGGCATGGCACGGCTCCGAGAATGACTTGCTCTTCAGCAACAGTTTGAAGATGAAGCTGTCTATTCTCATGGGTTGGGCACACATGACCTATGCTCTGTGCTTCTCCTATGTCAACGCCAGACACTTCAAATCTCCTATCGACGTCTGGGGCAACTTTGTGCCTGGCATGATATTCTTCCAAGCCATCTTCGGTTATCTTTCGTTCTGTATCCTTTACAAATGGTCTATCGACTGGGCAGCCGAAGGTCGCAACCCACCGTCCTTGCTCAACATGTTGATTCAGATGTTTCTGTCTCCAGGAAACGTTGAAGAAAGTGAGCAACTTTACTCGGGTCAAGCGGGGGTCCAAGTATTCCTGCTCTTGATTGCCGTCATCAACGTGCCCATCCTCCTGCTTTTGAAGCCTCTGTACCTTCGCTGGCAACATCAGAAGACTGCTGCTCAAGGATACCGCGGCATTGGCGACACTAGCCGTGTCACGCATGCCACAGATCTAGAAGACGACGACGATGAGAATACCAACACAAATGAACGCCGTATGAATGGCCGACCTAGTGAGGATGATGACGAGGGTGCAATGATCACCGAAAATATCGGAGACGAGGAGGAAGAGGAATTCGAATTCTCGGAAGTCATGATCCATCAAACTATTCGTAAGTGCTATGGACTCTTCGGCTCCTCCCCTTTTTCATACACAGTCTAACTTGCTGGTGATAAGATACGATCGAGTTCTGTCTCAACTGCGTTTCCCATACCGCTTCGTACCTTCGTCTGTGGGCGCTCTCGCTTGCCCATCAACAGCTCTCCGTCGTCTTGTGGAACATGACGCTAGGAAACGCTTTTGGGGCGTCCGGCGCGGCACAAGTCATTATGATCGTTGTGACCTTTTACTTCTGGTTTGTGTTGACTATCGCCGTCTTGTGTGTCATGGAAGGGACAAGTGCGATGTTGCACAGTCTGAGGTTGCACTGGGTAGAGGCGATGAGTAAACATTTCGTTGGGGAGGGCGTGACATTTGAGCCTTTCAGCTTCTCATTGTTGTTAGAAGAAGAACCTGTGGACTAAGGGCAGGAACAGGGGTTGTGTAAAGGACACTGGGAGAAGTATAGGGGGCGGATTACATAGAATCAGAATCTGTACCGAGTAACTTCACTCCAGACGTCCGACTATTTCTAATCTTGGAAGAAATACCAGAGATCAACGCGATGACACATTGGCCGGAGGTGGCAAGGCTGAAGACCTCATTCGCTCAACCTTCTAATTCTGTAGGGCTAGGTCTTGGCGCCAAATCTGCGTCCACAATCAAAGGTGTCTTGCCACCCCTCGCTTTTCGATCCCACTGCTGCTACACATCAACCAACATCGCCAGTGACCAGAAGATCTTGACAAGAGTAAGTCGTGACCTGTGTGATGTAGAGAGCCTTTGCCAATTTACTGACTTCGTCTTCAGTGCAGATGTAAGTCCTCCTGAACGCACGTCCGACTCAAACGACCTGGCGAAATATTGCTCCGACCCTGCGGGATTTTCAAGAAACGACGTGAGAAGAGTATGAAGTGCTGATGATGGTTTCTTTTTGCGTATGACAGCTTCGTCAAGACCCTCACGGGCAAGACCATCACCCTCGAGGTCGAGTCGTCCGACACGATCGACAACGTCAAGTCCAAGATCCAAGACAAGGAAGGCATCCCACCCGACCAGCAGCGATTGATCTTCGCCGGCAAGCAACTTGAGGATGGCCGCACCCTGAGTGACTACAATATCCAGAAGGTACATACCACAATTCTTTTCGCACTGTCCCAACTAGCAACCCAAAAGGAGGAAATCAAATCTTCTCTCACTTGTCGCGCGGAGTCCGCTGATCTGTGGTCTGTTCAAAACTTAGGAATCCACCCTGCATCTCGTCCTCCGTCTCCGTGGCGGTATCATCGAACCCTCTCTCAAGGCCCTCGCCTCCAAATACAACTGCGAGAAGATGATCTGCCGAAAGTGCTACGCCCGTCTGCCACCCCGAGCCACCAACTGCCGCAAGAAGAAGTGCGGGCACACCAACCAACTCCGACCAAAGAAGAAGATCAAGTAGTGGTCTGCGTACGCAGGGTCGTGTATTTTTTTTGCTGGGGTGGCCGGTTTCGCGCGAGATGGACTGTGGGCAGTGCGGGAGAGTGTTGATGGATGGTGCACCCTAAGCAGGAGTAACGTCGCAAGAGTCTCTGGGTATGCATTTCGGGGTGATGCGCGGTAGAAGATGCAGAAACGGCGTCGTGAATCCGTGAGGTTCTCACGGGCTGGGCAAGCTAGACTGTGAAATGCGGCGATTTTCAATGCATGTTGATCTCGCGCTCGCCCTTAGCATGCGCTGACCACCAATACGCCTGTCAGAAAGTAGTATGAAGAGTGCAGAAACGAAAAATTCACACAGCAGATCCGAGTTCCTTGAAGAACAAGTTTATTCGTCGTTAATAGAGTCAGTTACTCCCAGAAGCGCAGAAAACTCTCGCCCGTTTTTCCTGTATGCCTCGAGTTATTGATACATATACCCATGTAACCCATGTGTCCGTCCGGTAGCATGCCCTCTAGCCCTTGAACAGGCGCCCTTCCCATGCCAGGGGTTTACCAAAAAGCCCCTCTCCAATAACTAGAACAA